GTTCCAGACGCTGTTCTGGTCCGGTTCGGTTCTGGTTCCGACTCGGTTCTGGAAAAGTTCGAACGAGTTGTTTTAAATAGCTAGAAAGACGTTTTGTCACGGAGCGCCGTCTCCGTGCAGCTCAAGGAGTTGATTCGTTACAATTTTTAACAGAAAAAGTGCATTTTGACAGTTTAAAAGACGAAAAAGTTGACGAACTATTTCACGCTAATCTAACTTGCTAGTTGGAGAAAACGCTTCTTGATTGGTTGAATATTGCTGTGTGGAGCGCTCTGATTTGCTGAGAAGGTTGACTGACGTGGCTACGTCATCCCCTCTCAACCCTGCGCTGCTTTGTCATTGGTGATTTCAGTCACGTGACCCGGAAATGAAATTCGTTTTCATAAGGAAATAAAATCTGCTTTTTAAAGCTGAAAAGCGCCTTTAAAGTGATTTTGATACGCTGGTTAAATGCTTCGAAGCATATTCGCTGAAATTTTGCCACGTTAGAGTTTAAAATTCGTCATTAAATGATGTTTTTAAACAACGCTAGCGATGCTAATTTTAAGCTAAACAGCTAACGACCGGAGCCTTCACTACGCTTAAAATCACTAAATAAAGCTGCAATATTGTTCCAAAAACTCATGTTCAGGCTAAGAAGTCGTGCTTGTTGAAATTTTGCCACGTTTGTGTAAAAAATCCGTTCAGAAATGTTGATTTTAACCGAGTTTAGCCGAAGCTAACTTTAAGCTAAGCGGCTAACAACAGGATGTCAACCGAACGCCACAGGAAGTCATAGCGACCCCTAGTGGACAACACAAACAGTGTCGGAGTTAAAATTGTTGAGATAATACTGACATCTTCTGGACAAACTTGAAAAGACAGGTTTCACTCGCTTTTTAGGCTTAAATAGTGAAATTAAACGTTTTATTTCTTCTAAAAGGCATTTTTGAGTTAATGAACATTCCTCAAAGCTGAAAAATACTGTTATCTTGCATTTTAAAAGTTATAAGGTATTTATGCAAAGAGCATTTACCAAAAAGTTTTATTCACTGGTAATCCTTTAAAGATAAGGTACAAAATAAACGTTAACTTTTTAAAAAATAGAAACAGTTACAGATTTTCACAAAGTTGGAAAAAGTTTACTCATTTGCTAAAAGGATAGTGCACGTTTAATTGATAAATCACTAAAAAAAAAAAGTAAATATATCAGACAAAGAGACTTTGCTGATTTTATTTATTTTGAAAAACCTAAAACATTAAATTTCTCCTGTTTAATCTTTAAATAGAAGAAAAATGGCAAGCGAAGAAGATGAAGACAACTTTTCAAAACCAACAAATGAAGATATCATTTTGGGGGCCTTACATATTTTAACAACTCCACTCATTGGCAATGAAATACAGCAATTAGAACAACTTAATGAAGCTCAAAGACAAGAAGAGCTGAAAAGTTTGGCCGCAGGAACATTAAACACAGAGAGTAAAAAGCTTAGCCATGAACGGTTAGCAAAAATCTCTCTGCTTCTAAAAGCTGAATTGGATGAACGGTCGGAACGCCTTGACTGGATGTCTAAAACACATGAGAGGGAGCTCTCAGAAATGCAGGCGTCACTAGAAACAAAATCTTATGAAAAGATTAAAGAAATAGACCGTCAGTACCAAGCTACGTGTGCAGATAACGAGGTGCTACAACAACAATTGCAACTCGCAAAAACTGAACTGGAACAATGCAAAATAGATAAACAAATTGTACAAGAGCTACATATGCGTTTAAAAGATGACTATTATACATCCCAGGAACATTTAAAAAAATGTGAGGCGAAACTAATAGCAGCAATAGAAAAAGGTCAGAATGTTGGGCAAGGTGACCTGGAATCCAAACCAGATCCTGAACAAAGTCGGACTAATACACCAATTACTCAACGACCTCTTTACTCACCCGGTGCTTTTAGACCCATCCAAACACCTACACAAACGGGCAGAGTAACACCCCCACAAC